GCCTTTTTTTTCTCTTTTCTCCCCAACGCGCGAACCATTTAGCTATTGGGAATACTGTTTTAAGCGTAAATATTCGCACCTTTTCTTTGTACTGATCTATTAAAGAGGTGCAATAGCTTCAATGAAATTAATTAAATAAAACATTCTTGTCACCTTTATTTTATTTCGGCGTTAGGAAAGTATATTTAACACATTGTACACATTACATATCGTATTTAGCCCAGTAACACTAAAGCAGTGAAACGTAAATTAAGTTTTTTAAGATTGACACTGAATTGCAACGTACTACTACGTGAGAGTCCAAGTAGTTTTTTGCATTTCATGTATCCTTATGTCAGAATGGTTTAATCAAACACTCAGCTGCCTCCATAAGCCCCTACTAACGAAATGTCGGAGTTGACAGAGACAGCCGCCATCTTGAGCCCGCTTCAGATTTTCAAATATTAATATCTAGAGTTCAGATTAACCAATATTAAAACAACTTATATAGTAAGCATCAATAGAAGTGTCTCTATTAATATTCCAAAAATAAATGAAAAATATTGAAAAACGAAGAAAGTTGAAAATTTGGACTTTTTGAATTGGCTTCCGGTAGCGACAGGAAGTACTGACGACGAACGAAAAGTTGCGTCCTGGAAAGTATTGATCATCATCTATAAACTCTGAAAGTTTCACATTGATATCTTTTACCGTTTTTGAGTTTAATCGTGGACAAAATGTCGTTTTAAAATCAGGAAAATGGTCCAAAACTTGGCACCAGAGAGAAATTTCCAAAAACTATCTTGGAACTTTCAAGAGTATCTTACAACACATCTTTCCTGAAAATTTCATGTAATTCTATCCAGTAGTTGTCGAGAAATCGTGTCAGAAAAATAATAATAATAATAATAAGAAGAAACAGAGCAATAACTATAAGGTCTTACGTGAAGACGGAAGACCTTAATAATAATAATAATAAGAAACCGAGTAAAAACAATATGTTCCCAAACTCCGTTTGGGGAACATAATAAGAAACAGATAACCCTAAAAACAATATGTTCCCCAACTTCGTTTGGGGAACATAATAATAATAATAATAAGAAACAGAGTAAAAACAATATGTTCCCCAACTTCGTTTGGGGAACATAATAAGAAACAGAGTAAAAACAATATGTTCCCCAACTTCGTTTGGGGAACATAACTAGTGCTAATTGTAACGAGAACCGTTACAGATGTTCCCCAAACGCTCCACAACTTCATTTTGGTGCCTCATTCCCTCTAAGCTTCATTAAATAAACTAAACCCTATGCACCTTAAACTTAAACAATGTTTTTCCTAAAGTATACCAAGTATATAGCAAATCTTTGCATTGCATGTGCGTACACTTTCATGCATATGCGAAATGACCATATCATTGTATCTACATTATTAATTTATTTTAATATACTTTATATCAAGGCATTTAATAAAAAAGTATTCGAAAATACGCTGAATCAAGTGCGTTTGTAATTATACGTATTTCACATGCACGCACGTGCATGCATGTGCATGATTACCATACCCTTTTGTAGGGGTCCATTAAGACTATCTATGTTCTAAATCCCATCCTGTTTGGCTGAAAACCACGGGAATTATAGGCATTTAAAGTTTTAGCCAATCAGATTGCAGCGCACGTGCATGCGCGTGATTTCATGAAAACTATTTTGATCATATCGTAGGATATCTTAATGCATTACCATGTTTTAGATTTCAAAGTATTTCGTCAAAAAACGAATAAGATATTGAGATTTTTGTTTCAGCCAATCAGAGTGAAGCACACGTGCATACGCGTGAGTTCATGATAATTTGACCATGTAATATTGTCTAGAATACTAATATATTCTTATATTCGTTTCAACACATTTCATCAGAAAATAGAAAAGTTACGGCTATATCAATTATATTGGTCATTTTACATGTTGCACGTGCGCGCTCTTGCAAGCACGTGCGCGCAAAATGACCTTGATTCCGCTACATAACATGTCTACTTACCCTAAAAAGATTTTACTTACATCAGATGAACAGTTTACAAGATCATTCGTGGACAAATAAGTACCCAGGAAGAAGAAAAATAATAATAAGAAACAGAGTAAAAACAATATGTTCCCAAACTTCGTTTGGGGAACATAACTAGGAGACTTATTGTTCAAAGAACAATAAGAGGTCTTTCCATTTTCTTTAAATTTCAGATTTGTTTTAGATCTGACTCCTTAAAATTATATTCCATGAAAAAGAAACAAAAATTGTCTGAAAGCATAGAAAAAAATGAAAATAAAAAAAATTGGAATGACCATGACCTTTCACCTTGAAAAAATATTTCAAGGTCAAAGGTCAAGGGTCACAATGCAGTTGACCCCATGCTTCTATGACTTATAGAATACAAGTTATAAGGTTTAATAGTAAGTACAAAGAAGTTAAAGGGCAATAACTCATATAAGGGGTTATCAGATCCTTTAGCACTTATACAGTGAAGTTAGGCCTAAAGATCCTTAAGACATTAGTGAAGATTTGGTGTCTCTACGGTCTATGGTTTTGGAGGAGTAGCGATAACAAGGTTTTTCGCACAAGGGGCAATAACTTTTAATAGGGTTAATCTTAGGGGACAAGAATGATACATTTGAATTAGTTTTAAGAGTACATATTTATGATGCAAAGACAATATGTATATAATGAAAGACAAAAGAGATATAAAAAGAGCTAAATTTCTCATTTTTGGAATGACCTTGACCTTTTAACTTTACATGAATTTAAAGGTCAAAGGTCAATTAATCTTATGCAGTTGGTCCGGTGTCTCTACTACTTCTCGTTTTGAAAATTTTTAATTATTTGTAAAATTCAAAAAGTTTCAGGGGCAATAACTCATTGAAGGGGTCACCGAATGCTTTCGCAATGATTCATTGGAGTGTCTACTAAAATAGTCGAAGACAATAGTGAAGGTTTCATTTCTCTACGGTTTATGGTTTCGGAGGAGTAGTGATAACAAGCTTTTTTGTGAAAGGGGTAACAACTCCGAAAGGGATCAAAGTTCATACACGCAGGGTCAACTGAGTTTAATAAAAAGATATATAAAATTGTTACATTTTCCAAAAAATAATCACATTGTGTAAGAAAGAAGGATATGAAGATAACGAACAGTATTCAATCTCAAAGTCCATAAAACAACACAAAATAGGAGCAGAGCAAACACGAACCTCCGAAACATCACAGGTGGGATTAGGTGTCATGGAGGAGTAAGCACCCCTGTTATGCTTCAAAGTCGTTTTAAAAGATTTATTGTATAAGGACCAACAATAGAGGAGTTGTTTGCTAGCTGTATCTGACGATGTTGAAACAATTTATTTTTGTTCGCTGCTTGTTAGGGGCGTTATAATTTTTAAATTAACAGTCTAGTCATTTTGATTCTATTTGCAGATTCTTTTAATTAAAAAATCAAAATTTAATTGTTTTTCTGTTGTACCTAGATCAAGATTTATTTTTTGATCATGTGAGACCTTAATCGAGTTAGATATACATTTGCAATCAAAATTACCTATTACCTGATAGCTATATATTATGTATTATGTTAAAAGATACACGTTTTCATTACTGTTAAAATAAGCAGAGTTAAATATTATATTTTTGACAAGTTACTTCCTTGGAATATATTTCTCGAACATTTACAATGCTTTTTCTGTTTCAAAATATTTGGAGATTTTTCCTAAAAAATCTCGAACCAAGATGCAATTTAGAATTAAGTTTGGCATCATAATTAATGGTTTAGACGGAATGTGACACATGTGAAATGTTCCAATGTTCTGGGTTGATAATAGCTCAAAACATATGTTTTAATATCTTCTTTTTTTAATTTAAATATTTGCTAGGCCAAATAAGGTACTAGTATATCGTGGATCGAGTTCTTTATCTATGCAACTTTTGTTAAGACTGTTCAGTTGTGCTCAGTCGACCAAATCGTCTGGGTGACGTTAACATTTAAACTACAAATTATTCTTTACTTGAACATTTAATCTACGAATGAATCCTGACTTGAACACTTAAACTACGGATGATTTTTGACCTGAATATTCAAACTACGAATCACCGGTCACGGTAGCCTATTGGTAGAGCGTTCGCTTCGTGATCGGGAGGCCCGGGTTCGATTCTCGTTCGCGGCGCCGCGCATACCTAAGACGTAAACAAAGGTAGTGACTGTTCCTTCGCCAAGCGCTCGGCACTAGAAGTGAAAGTCACGGGTCTTTCGGATATGACCTTAAAAACGTAGGTCCCGTGTCACGGTAGGCGCTGGCACGATAAAGAACCCTCACTGCTCAATGGCTCTGAGTGCCGAGTATAGGTCTAAATTTGAAGCCCTTCACCAGCATACGGTGACGTCTCCATATGAGTGAAAAATTCTCAAGAGGGACGTTAAACAATATACAATCAATCAATCAATCAAACTACGAATGATTCTTGAACTGAACATTTAAACTACGTATGATTCTTGACTTGACATTTGAACTAATTATTCATCCTTATGATTCCTGTAGATTACACAAATACGTGTGACTTTTTAATATGAAAAAATATCGTATTCATACACAGGGTATAACATTTTTATCTTGACGTAAACATGCAAAAGTATGTGTAGTTTATTAAAATTATTAATGATTTATTTCTAGTAACTGGATTCGTGAATTAAATTCAATGCATTGCTATCTGCTCCAAAGCTGCTAAAATATGAAACCCTTTTTAAGATTAAAAAAAAGACAAAGTATATATACTACAAACTACTTATCTTCAATATTTTTGTTTCACTTAAACCTGGGGCCTCAATCTCATGATTTCATCGATTTTTCACTTATTGTTAAATGCAGCAAAAGTCACGAGTAGCCAATCATTTTTGCCGTAAGAAATCAAAGTTCCAGTCTTAATGCTTTTAAGCTGATACATCAGTTTGCTTAGCGTCACAACAACACAGTTGTTTAATTTTAAAACACGCGTCCAACATGAGCGGTCTCTGTGTTATCTATATATTAATTCCCCTTCTTACAGTGGCTCAAGCTACCAATTTTATTTCGCGGAAATTGACAGCAAAACCAGAGGTTGATAATACAAAGTCAAATAGCAAACTTCTGGGACAATATAATACTTATACGTTGATCGAGTGCGCTATGAAATGTCAGAAGGATTGTGGTCACTTATTCGGATATAATCCTCTGCTGTTGAAGTGCCGAATCCATCAGACTATCTTCACTTCCGGAATTTCAAACGAAGACGAATGGACTTACTACGGTAAGCCTTACTATTTCTCTATTGCTTATATTAAAAATAACGTTAGATACGATATATAAATTATTATGAATTATTAATTTCTCTCCCACAAAATATGGAAAAAACGCACTTTACGATAAATCGGTTATAATTATAGATAATTGGAAGCAGGACTCTTTATGACTCAATCTTTTATTTTTTCAAATCGTTTTAGTCCTTATGCTGTAATTATGTGTTCAAAATAGTATTAAAATTCTGGAAAGTTAGGCTTGCTTTCAAAATTTAGGTTTTTGCTCCAATCAATTTCTAAAACTAGATAATGAACAAGAGTATAGATTCATGAAAATATTCGATGTTATTGAATCAGAAAATGAATAAACCTGTCAATAAATTGGTTTCTCAAAATTTTTAAGTTTTTAATTTTTCCATATAGATTTCATAATAAAATTTTTCTTTCCTATTTCGATCATTAGACCTTTTAAAACTATTACAAAGCGTAAACCATTTACCTAACCTTAAATGCTTTTTGAAAACTTAGATGCACATTTTGAAAGGGGGGATAATTGCTATTGAACGAAGGCACCGAAAGAAGATGCATAGAATTATGCATCTTAATTATTGTTCCAATTCGTGATTAATATTTTCGTTACTTATATTAAGTTGTTCCTCCGTTGCGAGAATACCAGCTTTATTGTCACTAGGTTTGCTTTCAATTAGGTTTATGCAGAACATTTTGGAATTGAGTACCAATTCCTCTGAATGCATGTCTTTTAGTCGTTGTCATGTTTTTACTGAAGTTTTCTTATATCCCCGTAAATTCCAACTTAAAACTGCTTTTCAATCACAACTGTTTCTTGGTTGCATCTGTATAGTAAATGCTTTGCGTTTAGGAAACTCTCTTGTGCTCATCAGAATATACTGAAAGATAGGAGTTCCATTCAGTATTTCCCAAGAATTATTTACCTGTACTCACTAACTCAAAAAGCAAAGGAAAGTTTCTCAGATGAAATATACTTTTTATTTACACTTTTGTTGCCCTGAAAAGTAATGATTGGATTAAATAAAAACAATGGGGTTATATACAGCAAACCAAACTTTTATTCAAAACCCGCCAACAACATCAATAAAAAGATATACATGGATAGAAGGCTATAGCTAAAACGACGCTCAATTCAAAAATAAAGTTTTTGAAAAGTTAGATGTAGCACAAAGCATACTTAATTACTTTAAGACTATTATTTGTGCAAAAAAGGCGATAAATTAAGAAATTCAAGAGTAAATTATCATGAATGTTAACATTGCATAATTCAGCAATATTTTTACTGTGCCCTTCTTTAATAGCAAAATATTTATTTCCATAATATTCTTTTCAATAACAAAAACATGTTTGGTCAAATTATTGAGGTGTAATAACACAATGAACAAATTATCTTAAAAACATATGATACACATGCCACTAAAACATTTTCTTATAATAATCCTTCTCTTCTACTGTCAAAATATTTCTTCTGTTTTACTTACCCATATAATTTTCGGCAATTTTTCTCTTCCATACAAATTTCGGTTATTTTACTCTTCCACATAATTTTCGGTAATTTTACTCTTCCAATTACTAACCGATACTTAAAAAGGGGGAAAATGTGAACTGCAAAGTTAATGTTTTTAGACGATATTCTTATATGTTGGTTTGTTTACGATGCCATTATATCCCTTTGTTTACATGAGTCTTAATATTTGTCATAAAACTTTTGTTTCAAAATCATATTATACTTTTTTTTTCTCTTTTAGTTCTTCCTTTCGATTGCAAAAACATCCTTGACATTGGTTACAATAATTCAGGGGTGTTCGATATTTATCCAAGCTGTTCAAGTCCAGGGGCTACCAGTGCTTACTGCGATATGCAAACTATGGATGGAGGATGGACGGTATTATTTAGATCTTAAAATACTGTAAAATATCAAGTACTGTAAAATATTATAAAGTACTGTAACATATTGTAAAATACTGTAACATATTGTAAAATATTGTAAATTGCTGTAAAATATTGTAAGATATTTTAAAATACTGTAAAATATTGTAAAAAAAAAAACTGTAAATAACGCACTTAAAAAAAATCTGGGCTTAGATTGTAGTGATAGACTGCAATATTTTATATTTCTTTCGAAAAAGTGATGAATTGATCTACCCTTATCCAGAACGAAGATAAGACAGTTAGAAGAACCCTCGGCCCAATTCTTTATCGTTCCTATCAAAATATAAGTATTTACATAACTTGTATGACATGATATACTTTCTGTCGATAAATCTGAGTTAAAGAGAAATAAATGCAAAAATCGAGAATTTTTTTTCCAGAAAAAAAATAACGCACCCTTTAATACTAAGGTAGAGGGGTTCAGAGGTAATGTCGCATATCTAAACTGACTGTCTTTTGGCGAAAGTAGCTTTGCAAAATCAAATACATTACAATAGAAAAGCTCAAATAAAATACAAAAGCAATTCAGCCTCTTTATACTAATCAAAAGACCATTGAAAAGGTTATTTTATTGCACGTGAATTGATAAACATTTTTTCATACTTCTAAATACTTCAATGTAAAGTGTGTTAATTTGGTCCAAAATTCAACGCACATTGAAAAACATTTATTTTTCAAAGTCCGTTGTAACAGACACCAACACTTACATGTGTATTGGAGGATTACAAATTTAGACTTGTATTCGACATGGTCGGTATGGTATTCTTTGACCATGGTGGGGGGTGGGGGTGGTCGTTTTCCTTCGAGCACTTGCTGTAACAAGGGAACTCGATTTATACAGTCTCATTCCATTCTCCATGCCCTGCAGTGGGATTCGAATCTTATTAATTTAATTTTAAAATGTGTGAATGGTGTTGTAAATTGAAAGACAAAAGGAGTCCGGAGATACCATTTCTTTTCCTAGGGTTAGAAAAACATGTTTGTTCAATCTTTATTAGTCGCCCGGATTGTGCAATTGTTAGAGCGTCTGCTCTACAGTCGCGAAGTAAGGACTCGATCCTTACGTCGCGGGTTCGAATCCCACTGTGGGACGTGGAGACCGGTCCTCCGGATTAGACTGTATAAACCGACGTCACGTGTCGCAGTAGGTGTTGGCACGAAAAATATCCAACATTGCTCTATGGCCCTGAGTGACAAGTAATGGACAAAAATTATAGCTCGGCTCCGCAGGCAAGTGGTGGCGTCTCCATATAAGTGAAAAATTCTCGAGAGGGACTTATAACAACATACAATCAATCAATCTTTATTACATGCCGTGCAAATGTTTGACACAGTAATAATTGAAGAAATGTTTATTTCAAAGGCAATTCAAAAGAGGTTAGACGGAGCCGTAAGCTTTAAGAGGACGTGGGCAGAATATAGGACTGGTTTTGGTGTACCGGAAGCGGATGTTTGGATTGGTAAATTTAGATCTTAGATCGCCGCTACATAGGACAAATGATTATTATACATATGTTTGACCAGCTCATTAAAAGTTTATTTCAAGACTGCATAATTATGCTTTTGGCGAAATTCATTCACCGCGTGTGATAATGAAATATCAAATAAATAGGAAGTTGATTATGCAAGAAAAAGAAATAAGAGGTCAGAGATACAGTAAAGTAAAAAATCGATGTTCATACCTAAAAGGTTTAAAAAATGAAAATAAAAAAGGAGGAATAAGAAATGAAATTAATGAAATAAACACACATTGACTGCTTTGAAGTATATGTAAAAGAGTTTATACTTAAGCATTTTGAATATTTTTGAACCTTCTTTTAAGATTTCTTTTCAATATACAAAAATGAAAAAAAATGTACAGAAGTACAATTATTAACTATTATTAAAAATATATCTTAATACAGGAAATGACGTAATCCATCAATTGACCAATGGAAGGCCTTCATACCTCTATATTTGGATCACACTAGACGACGGAAGGAATCTGTATGAGTTGTATGATCAGTTCTCTGTTTCCAGTGAAGCAGAAAAATATAAACTATTTTTGTCGGGACTTGCCACCGGGACCTTAGGTAATGAAATCTAATTAATTATGTATAGAATGGACAGGAGAGAGAGAGATAGAGAGAGAGAGGGATTGAAATCATTAAAATAATTTATAATTCGGGAAAAAGTAATTTTAATGATACCTGTAACACAACTGTTTCTTTATATTTTTAAATTTCATATCTGTTATATACATACATTTTCATCCGCCCATTAGATGAGTATTCAATTTAAGTAATTTTGTTCTTTCTTCCTCTAATCACAAAAGATTTTCTGTTTTAATGTTTCTCAACGTCTAAAAGCTCCCATTGGCCTATTTTAAATTAGACAGAATGCCCACCGGGCACTTCTTACTTTACAGGTAAAGTACATGTAGCTTATTTATTCAGTTGTTCCTTATCTCCATATTTCATCATTGTCTTCTTAGTTCAAGTATTTGTTTCCAATAACCCTCAATCTTACTATTAAGAATAAGTATGTTATATTTTAAATGATGGAATCGAACAAAGATGTCTTCTAGTCTTCTATGTTCTCTATGTACACGTGACACACATACTTTTTCAGATCATTTAATTCTTAATTTAGGTACCTATCTTCCATTGTCCTCAGGTTGACTATTGATAAAAGGTGTGTTATATTTTAATAAAACATGGCATCAAACAAGGCGGTCTTTTATGCCCCTTTCTCTATGTACCTGTGACAAACCTATTTTATTGAAATCAGTCCATTCTCTTCGTTAGAAGTACACTTTCCACTGTCCTCAATCGGACTATAAACAATAAGTGTGCTATCATACAGTTAAAGTATATCATTGAGAGAGTTGGGAAAATTCCAGTTCCCCCTATTTTTCCCGAGGCGAAGCCGAGGAAAATTGTCCTGATCGAGTGGAAGAGGAATCTTGCTAACTCCCTCAATGATATACTTTTTCACTGTTTTATTATACCGACACAAAAGTAAAAAAAGCCTTTGGGGCGGGAATTACCTCACTTGACTAACGCACGAGGATTAGGCCAATAACATATACCGACACAAACATAAAATCTAGAGGATTACGAATAACTGGAAATTTGCCCTTCCGTAAGATATGCTCCGTGCAGCGAACATTTTGAACAATGCGGTAAAGGACGTTTTAGTATCTTTCCGTTTTATAAAGTTACTGAGGAAAATGAACAGTTACGGCGGGCCAAAGAACAATATTTCATTGATAAATTTAAGCCTAAACTAAACAGATAAATGTTCTGATTTAATCAATGACTGTTAATATTGTTTTTTAAAATTTATTAATTATTGATTGTTATTGTGTAAATATGTATCATTTACAGTGTCAAGTCTATTTAATTTGGCGCTTTCTACGGACATATTTTGCGCCAAATTTTAACGTTGTCCTTTAATTATGACGTCATAATAACGACGTTATCATGTCATGTTGCTATTGTTATTCAAAATCCACTGAAGAGCCGAATGGCGAAAGCGCTTTGGAATAAAATGTGATCATCTTTTCCAAACTCTGGATTATTTATATATATATATATATATATATATATATATATATATATATATATATATATATATATATATATATATATATATATATATATATATATATATATATATACATGATGTAATTGTGGATTATTTCAATGAAAAAAATTAAAAGAAGTGATTTGTTTATGTATTTAGGGGTTTCTGAGGTATCTGTACAATTGTTGTAGGATATAAGTAAATATTATTGTTCTTTTTAATTAAAAGAAATATATTTCTTTGTTTATGCTCTGCAGATGTGGATCATGGAAGAGAAGTCATAGACTAGCAATTCTATAGACGATGACGACAGAAGTGTGACAAAATAAACTTTTTCTCCTTGTGTTAATCATTTGGTCTTTATCAATTTGATTTTGACAAACACGTTGCATAGATTTTTTTTTTTTTTGGGGGGGGGGGGGGGGATAAACAACAAAAAAAGGAAATACCAGGGAAAAACCAATGCTTACCCAAAATCTAAATTCAAAGGAAAGAGGGGTGCGAACCAATATTTCAATGAAAAATCATTATTAAATTAAGAACAAAAGTTATTGATTTGAAGAAATGTTAACATTTTATTAATATTTCCGGAAAAAGTGGGAACTGTAGAACCCCCAAGCCCAAAGTCCCATGCTTTTAATTACGTGCGTGTTTTTAAGGTAGGTCGCGGGTTTGCTTTTGTCATCAATTTTGGTACACAATTTTGACGATTCGAGCGGTTGTTTTGTGCACATTTGATTATGACGTCAGTTACGTCACAAAGGCAACGTCACGTTGTTTCCCGTTTAATTCTCTGCAAATGACTTCAAGTCTGTATGAATTTAAAAGTAGATTTAACACAAAGAGCATGTTTATGTACGTAAACGTCGTACATGTATTATAATTAAATTTCAGTCTGAATTCTGGTGTGACTCTTCGGAATAATTAAATACAATACAAAATGAAAGCAATAAAAAATATTTGAAGTGTAACTAAACTGCTAAAAGTCAATCGGAATAAATTAGCGTAAAAGTTCTGGCTTTCAGAAAGAAAGTTATCATGAATAAAAAATTGCTTAGCGAGAAACTTGAGGGAATGTATGTGCGCAAGTTATTTAAAACTCAGGGGAAATTGACTTCAAATCAAAGCCGGGGCGAAAATATGCGTATACTTTTCAGGATGAAAATTAATCCACATCACTAAAAACGGGTTATATTTAATTACAAGTATTTTCCTGTTTTGTTTTTTTAATTATCATTATTGATATTGGTTGGTTGTTATGTATTTAAATCTCGTGCACTCGCCTTATTTTGCTTGCTAATAAATTGTGAAAATGCATTTAAAAATCAAATGTATTTAAACACCTGGATTTTAAGACATAAACACTGAAAACAATTTACAAGTATAATTTTTTTCTATATATTTTTTATGACAAAAGCTCAACGTGTAAAAGCTAAATGCAAGTGTTTTACATTTTGCGTATTGAAATTTAATTCAGAAAATTCGAAATTAAAAAATGCTTGAAATTTAGAGCCAAATACTATAGCTTGCGACTTATACAGAAAGAACATTGCAGGTACACCCCCACCCCCGCCCTCTTATTTCCTCATTATAGGGATGTTTTCCTACCGTTTTCAAGTAAAGTGATGAAATTTTTGTTTTATGCCTGAAATCCTATTGAAATGCATTTCCTAAATATACAGGTACTAATATTTTTTCACTCGCGGTGAACATTGTCGCTGCATGTTAATATCGCTGCACGAGGATTATTTATATCGTTCATTCTGACTTTGTGATCAGAATATTTATAAATTTCACAATACTAGTGAAAATATGTTGCTGATCGTCCCAATATGTCTCCGCAATAAATGAAATGATGAATAAAATTAAATTTTGTATCGATATCATCTTTTAATTCGTGCATATTCCATAGGTCAATATATTTATACTCGTAAGTACTGTAAACGTGACTACGTTCAACAAATGACGTCGTAGATAATAACGCCATGAACGCCAAATTTTAGCATTTTAAAAGAAAGCTTTGAAATTATTTAGCAAAAAATCTAGCGAGAAGACATATTGATTTTTTTATATTAATGGTTTTGATTTAACCTCATCTTGACATTTTGAAATTCCTGAATAATTCGTCTACATCTTTAAAAAGTTATCCAACCTTTTTAAAAGAAATTATTTTCACAAAATTGGCTTAAAAACGTCATTTCCCTATATATTTCAATGGTAATAGCGTCAAAAAGGATTAAAAACTATACCGCGTTTACAGTACTATAACATTAAAACTACTTAGGCAAATTTAATAAAAATTGCAGATGATACGCTTTAAATTCTAAGGAACATTTTATCAAATTTTCAGGATATGTTTTCACGTAAGAATTTTTATGCAGTAAACCCGCGACCTACCTTAAATAATAAAGAAATAACAATGAAAGATTACGTTTTAGACGTTTTGCTGATTAAGAGCCATTCTCTGTTATGATTTGAAATTTTATATAGGAGCTGTGGCACGCATAGTCTCAGAATTTCTCCAAACTCTCTATTATAAAAGGCATTGATACCCTGAACTGAAATCAGGCAAAAATTGGTTGCTATGTTTTATAGTTACCATGGCAACATGTCTTAAAGTTCGAAAAATGGCATTTTTTAACATGTTTAGAGCCCCATAGTTAACATTTGCGGCAAAGCAAACAATTGTTAATGACTGTTTCCAAAAGTTGAAGGTAAGATGTCTCGAATGCATGATAAACATGTTTGGTAAATCAACTATTACATACGTTACTATGGTAACAAAGAATTCAAAAGTAAAAAAAATATTCATTGAATTTTATGAAGTCATACTCGTAAAAATGAAAAGCAATTATAGGATGAAATGTTACCAAATAATAGAAAAAAGAGCCTTGAAACACATACCAAGAAAAAATATGATATTTCATTTTGGTTGGCAATGGTTGCCAAGGTTTTTATGCCCGAGAGAACCTTCAAAGTAACACTATGTATGTTTAAATATGATCCTATCTTTTAAAAAAAGCACATTTCTTCATAACTAATGATCAATTTTATAAGATGTTGGTGTGCTCCAAATTTTCGCATTTCAAAAAATCCATATTAGATTCTTTAAATAGAGCGTTGCTATGGAAATAAGCAGAAAATATATGCTTAAAAACCTGAAAAAATATTTTGTTTCCTTGGATACGTACCCTTAAATGAAAATTCCCAAAACTTTTATGATTGATATTTATTAACAGCTAACTTGACTTTTAATTTTGACTATCATCCAATCTCTAAGTGGATGCAAGAAGTTGGCACACAGGGTTTAATATTGATATAAAGTTCAAAAAATCAAACATTTTCCCTTCTTGGTAACCATAGCAACAGTGTTGTTTTATTCATCAAATTTTATCAATATATGATAATTAACTTCAGTTCTAACAGATAAGACTATTCCAGCCGAGCTCTTTAATTTGTTTCTTGATTAAATGGCAATTTAATTCTTAATGCAGCGGAAAAAAATTTACTTTTAAGCAC